CTTAACATAAGATTTGTTATAAATAGTATTGATAATCTTAACATAAGATATTATAAACTTCCATTTATTAGATTTTAATCAAATTTTACTAAATTTTGAATTAATAAAATCATTTTTAAAAATTGTAAAGATGTCATAATTAACTTAATTTTCACAACCAACAAATTACAAAATAGTTTTTGTATAAAAGATCCACTTCCTAAGCTGCTTAAATCTAATATTGCTTATAAATTACAACAAGGATATATGAGCAACTTACAAGTGACAAACAATCTAATGTTTACAAGCATTTAATCTCATTCCTTAATGGTAAAAATGTAACTAAGTATAATTATTTTAAAATTTTGGATATTACTCCTAACAAAAACAAATTGAAAACTAAAGAAGCACTCCATATTAAATGGGAAAATCCATCTTTAAATAAACAAACTGTTCATTATAATACATAAATTTGTCAATATAGTTTATTTTATTTACTTATTATTCTTATGCTATTTACTGTATCGTAATTTGTATTACAATTTTTATTGGTTTATAACAACTTTAATTGTCTTTTAATATTTCTCTGTAATGTCTTCAAATTTTAAATCTAAATTCCAAATTCATATATATATATATATATATATATATATATATATATATATATATATATATATATATATATATATATATATATATATATATATATATATATATATATATATATATATATATATATATATATATATATATATATATAAACAATTTTAAAAATGTATTCTACAAAATAGAGTGCTCAATGTTCTTAAAAGAACAGAGTAATTATAAATTAGTAGAAAATCACTTAACAAAAATTTTTTTTCATTTTACACTGTGTTTCATCGACAAAGACTCATCAGAAAAAAATTTTCTGATGAGTCTTTGTTGATGAAACACAGTGTAAAATGAAAAAAAATTTTTTGTTAAGTGATTTTCTACTAATTTATATATATACATATATATATATATATATATATATATATATATATATATATATATATATATATATATATATATATATATACATATATATATATATATATATATATATATATATATATATATATATATATATATATATATATATATATATATATATATATATATATATATATATATATATATATATATATATATATATATATATATATATATATATATATATATACATTCATATATGGGTGTTTCAAAACAATTAAAAAAAAAAATTTTCTTTAGTTTTGTGTGTAGTTTTGTCTGTTAAAAGTGAAAATAAGAAGAAAATTTTTAAGTTTGACTGTCCTCCCCCCACCCTACTTTTAAAGTTTTTACCCCCTATGTCGCCCACTTTTTCAAAATTATTTACTTTTAAATTGATTTTAGGCTAAATATATAAATGTATTATTGCAATTAAATATGTTTTTATAATTCTAAACTATGTATCATAGCTAATATTAGTAAATATAATTTATTTCAATTTAATGATTCTCAAAAATTATTAAATAATATTATTCGCAATGCTTGAGATGAGAAAATTTTTTATGATGAATATTAATGTTACATACATTATTCAAATAATTTTATAATTTATAGCTACTTTTTTATCTATTGATATAATAGCATATATAAAAAATATTTGATCAGTTATGAGCAATAGTAAATTGAGGGAAAATGATGAGAAGTTTGATAATATTGTTGATAAATTATTACCTACCCTTGAAGCAAAGATGTAAAGTCAACTAACGACAAATGGAGATGTTGTACGCCATTATCTTTATTTTACAAGATTTGAATTGAAATTAACTGGTAAAAAAAAGTTGCATCTGTAGTTTGGAAAAAAGTTATTGTTTTTTGGAAAATGGCAGGAATTCCAATAAAACAGAAGAATGATATTGTCAGAATGATACTACATCTGATTCATCTTAGAGAGAACTTGATTAAAAACGCAAAAAAAAAATGTTATGCGGCTCAACTTCTGATTTTTACTAATAAACTATCATTGTTGTTTGATATTGCAGCATCTAATGCAGAAAATTTGATAAGAAAAGATACCTTCTCGTAGTATCAATAGTCAGATCTCAGATGACTTTCTCTCAGATCAGCGCCACTTAAAAAAGCAATTTTTGGGCCCATTAGACAAGAGCTATGCTATGAAAGTGAAAAGAAAGAGGGAAAAAGAGAAACATAAAATCAAGGCTATTGAAAAAGAAAAATCTAGAATGGAAACCATAGAAGAAAAAAGCTTCAACGTATTGGCATCATTTGATAATGAAGACAAAACTTATAATAAAAATGAAGAAAGTATTATTGCTAAACAGAAAAAAAAAAGTAAGATATTTGAAAACCCTAAAGTTTCTTTAATGGCTGATAGGTTGAATCTATCCAACAGAAAGATCTGGAATCATTTTAGCTGTAGCTGATGCATTGGGTCACAATTTAGATGAATTATCTATCTCAAAAAACACAGCGCACAGATCAGGTAATAAAATTTGAAAGCAAGTTTCAGATGATCTTAAGAAAACATTCATTTCACACATGTACTCTTCCATTCACTGGGATTCAAAATTAGTATTTGTGGTCGATAATAAAGTGGAACGTTTGGCTAACGTTGTAACAGGAAAACCAAGTGCACCTGAAGGGAAATTTTTGTGTGTATCCAGGATTTTTGATACAACTGGGCGAAGTCAGGCAATAGCTACCATAGATGCTGTAAAGGCATGGAAACTAGAAAAAACACTTGTGGCAATGATTTTTGACACAACTCCATCAAATTCAGGTTGGATAAATGGTTCTGTAAAGTTTGTGTACAATCTTGTATACATCAAAGATATTTGCTTTTGCTGACCTAGCAGAGTATGAAGAAAGTTTTATAGAGAAATTGTCACAGTTTTGTAAATTTACTATTTTATGTGAAAATATGGGATATGTGCACAAGCACAGTTGATGCCCCATTTAATGACTTGGAATTCTACAAAGAAATGCTTATTTATAAAAACATTGACAATGATGTTGCTGTTGCTGCCCTGGAAACATTTAATCGGCATCTTTGGTATTTAACCAAAGAAATGTCCCCTCTTTCATTATTTTCTGATAAATTATCTGATCGAGATAAAACTAAAATTGCTAAAACAATTCTGAAAAATATAAAAGAAAACTGTGAACACGATATAGGCTTTCCACAATTTCCTCTTCTGAAGCAGAGTACTTGTTTGACTGATTTAATTGGACCAAAATCAAGTGACATTCTAAATTTATTCGGATATGCAAATGAGGACGGCGGTTGGTTGGTAAAATCCCCAAAGTTTTGGAAAGCTAACACAAATTTTAATCACATGTTTGACCATATCAAATCACTGAAATCTGTAAACAATACAGCAGAATGAGCTGTTAAACTAATTCAAGACAATGCAACATCTATTACAAAAGATGATAAGCAGAAAGGATTTCTTTTTATATGCAGTAGAACACCACCGAAAAGTTCTTTCTCACATAAATAAACAAGCAATTCAAAAACTTAATTTTTGAAAATATGCTTTAAACAATCTTTTTTATTATACCTTAAAAATATTGTTATTTTGTTGTTATAATTTTAAAACAATGAGATTTTTAATTTCTTAGTACTTATTCCCATTGTGCTTTAATATTAACTTATACATTTTTAATTTATACCAATCATTTCTTAGATTCTTTGTTTAATAATTGAATATTTATCAAGTTTTTCATTTTAATTAAATATTATAATTTATAAAGTTCCTTATTTAAGCAGAAAAAAATCATACCACAAAAGTATTATTAGAAAGGATGGGGGAGGGGGTCATAAACCAGGTGAAAATTTATTTTTAATAAATTTTCATTTTTATTTATTACAAAACTATTTGAAATTATAATAACAGTTAATTATATTGGATATAAATAATAAATATATGAAAGGAGTATATTAAGGATTGTTTTAGGGCAAAAACACATTTAGGGTTTATAGGGGGGGAGGAGTCGAATATGAATTTTTTTTGAAAATAACTATTGATTAAGTTTTATCAAACAAAATTACACAAGTAAATTATAAAAAATGCGAATGTCTTTTTTTAGAAAAAAAAAAAACACACAAAAAAGAGCGGCGGCGGGGGGAGGGGTGTCAAATATAAAAAATTTTAGATTTTTTTTTTTTTTTCGCTTTTAGTAGATAAAAATACATATAAAACTGATTGAAAAATCTAGAAATAGTTAAAAACTAAAAAAAATCATGTCATTTTGGGACACCCTAATATATATGTATAAAAGAACAACTTTTTTTTAAATCGTCTACTATCCTCTAAATGTGCTTTATGTAATAAAATGATATTAGAATTAAAAAAATTTTAAAAAAGAAATATTTTTAGGGGTCCCTCAAGTCCCTTAAACATCAGATGGGTCACTAATATTATATAAAAAACGTTTTTCAAAAGTATATCATCTCAAAAGAAGCAAAATTTTATAAAAATTTCTAAAATAATCTTTATTAAATAATAATTATTTTAAATTCTTCTGTCTAAAAAAATCAACTTTCCTTTTTTATAAAATTATGATTGTTTTTGAAACTTTTATATAATTTTGCTTCTATTAAGACTCAACATAATAAGCCTTTGAAAAATATTTTTTTTGATAATTTTAGGGACCCGCCTGATGTTTAAGAGACTTGATGGACCCCTAAAAAAAAGTTTTTTCAACTTGAGTATTACTTTATTATATAGAACACATTAAGAGGGTGTGAGCAGACATTTTTTTTTTTTGGGACACCCTAATACATACATAATACAATAATAGAATAATGCATACCTACATACATACCTACATACATACATACATACATACATACATACATACATACATACATACATACATACATACATACATACATACATAAAAATATATATATATATATATATATATATATATATATATATATATATATATATATATATATATATATATACATATTAAAAAATTCAAAATTATTAAGAAAATACCTCATAACATTCACAGTAGTTTTTTAAACATCCTGATCGTCTACAGTTGCAACCTTATTACAAAACATTAAAAATTCAATGCATATATCAATATACTTAAACAAAATGATTCTTTTATACACACATTCAGAATTTCATAAAAACAACTTATATCCACTATCAGACTACATACAAGCAACAAAACTTATAAATTCAAAAGAACAATTTACCAGCAATCTATTTATAAATTTAAAATTTATAGATTTAAAATTTTAAGAACTTTTGAAATAGTTAGTGTTAGATTTAGATATAAACTAAAGTTTTCATGTTGATTAAATATTAATGAGCTGAATTTATTTAATATCATTGATAAGTAATTTTTCAAGAGTTTATTAAACTTTTGAAAAAAATACAGCTTTGCCTAGTTTTAAAAGAGGCTTAACTACTGGTACATTGTTGATCAAATGGGAACTTAAAAGAGGGTTAATTACTGGTAAATTAATCAAAAGGAAACCTGAAACCAGAGATGAATCTTTGATCAGAAGTGTAATTAAAGTTGATCTTTTGATCGAAATAATATAATAAACAAAAAATGAGTAAATTAAAAAGTTAGTAGAAAAGCAAATACCAGAGATTTAATTTCATAGTACTGTTAAAATACTGAAGATTTACTGTCACATTCTTAAAATACTAGAGGTATACTTTCACATAACTTATTAAATTATATTTGATGATATAACTGGCTAAAAAATTTAAAACAAAATAACCATAAATTAGTTGTTTTTGAAATAAATTATAGAAAATATGAAAAGGAGGCAAACAAAGAAATATATAGTAAGGAAAATTTTAGAAGAGGAAGGGGAAAGGGCTTTGTAATTAAATGTAACATCAAAATCAAATATATTCTGAAATAGATTTTACATTTGATGGAATATTTAAATAAAGTTCAAATACTAATTTTAAGTAAAAACTGTAATGAAAAAAATAAAAAAAAACAGTACAATACTCAGTTTTTATGTAGTAGTAATAAAATAAAAAGTGTGATATATATAAAACTAAATTTGAAAATAAAATAAGAATAAACATGGGTAAAACAAAGATTCAAGAAAATGTTGTACATTTAAGGAAAATATATCTCCTGCACAAAGAATAATGATAGAATACAAAGTTTTATTTTTTTGGTGAGAGTGGAAATATTATACTTTTTAGCTTTGGAAAGTTAAAAAGAATAATGGAAAACTTTAACTTACAGAGAGGTTTCAGAAGAAAAAAAAAAACTCTGAATGTTTTACAATGCATTACATGCTGAAAAACATGATACTCTGCTACAATTGTGTATTTGATACTCATGTACCAACACTTTTGTGTTTAAATGTCAACGCATAGTTTTGATTATTATAAGTTCTCATATATAATATATATGCTCTCATATATACAGTTATAAATGCAACATATGTTCTCATATATAATATACTGGATATGAAGTTATAAATGCAATATGTTTATTGCATTAAAAATATTTCTAAAAAATATATTTTGGACAAACGTAACAAAAATAACATAAGTTAACAAAGATAAACATCCCTTTCAGCAACTAAATTTGCAAATATAGAAATGTTAAATTAACCTTTAGTATGTCTTCTCTCTGTATCACCTTTAATCTTTCCTTTGCCAATTTTAGGATGAAAAGCGTATGGATTGCGATCTAAACATGACTACAGAAAATACTAAACATCAGAACATCAATTTTTATTGACTAGATTTAAAATCAACTAATAAAACCTCTTACTTTAATTGCTTTACTACGTTCAACTTCATGAGCAATGTTGTTGAAGCAAATACGACAGTTGCAATTGTTGCAAAACTCACCATTAGCAAAACATTCACAGTATCTATAACAATAGTTATAAAACTTTGAAAATAAATTTCCGTCATATAACAATAATAAAACAATTGCTGAATATAGAAAAATATTACAACAAATTGTATAAAAAGAAATATTGTAATAATTGTTTGTTATAGTTCAAGCAAAGAAAATACTAATGGTCAGAAACTATTTATAAAAAAATCTTACAATTTTAAGCATTGAGATTTAGTGCAATTGCAAGGTTTCTTTAAAATTTTTGATTCTGTTATTGGTCTAAATAAAACAAATTTAAAAAACTCATTTTAAAACTAAATATATTAATATGCATTTATATATTTATTATTGAAATGAAATTTTTTATATTTCAAACATTAAATATATAAATATAAATATAGGTTATTTTATTATTGGTTATATTCCTATATAATATAATAAATAGGAATATAACCAATAATAATATAACCGAGGAATATAACTAACAATAACAGATTATTTCTGCTTTTAATTTAAAAGAAATGAGCCTACGATAAATAATTTGTGTTAAGTTGTAAATATATAAGTAATTAACAACGTTACAAATTAATAAATACTTTTTCAATTTTTTGAATAAGTATTTATTAATTTGGCTATTATTTATTTTTGTTACTAATATACTAAATTTAACTGTTTGTGTTTTTATTAATATAATTAAGAATGAATTTCTGTGATAAAAAATAATTCTAGATATCCACTAAAAATTAAATTATATAACAATACAAATAAAACTATATAACAGTGAAGCTGAAATTGAAACAAAATTGTATAACTTAGGTTGTGTGTTGATCCGTGTATTGTAATGTTAAGTCAATAATTTTTATGTAGTACATCTCACTCAGCTTTATGTGTCTAGAATAATAGACTGCTGATAGAGCATAGCCATTGTTGACAATTAGTTAATAGTGAAACTGTCCATTACTTAACTATTATTTGGATTATGTTGAAATAGGGTTAAAAGTTCAACTTCACTTAAAAATTAGGCAAGATTAAAATTAACTTCACTTAAAAATTAGGTGTCTGTCAAGGATTGTTTTGTTAGAATTGTTGTTAAGATAGTTACCATTACGAAAGAGTACTGGAAGTTCATTATCTTATAAGAAGTTTAGTGGCAGTGCGCAGTAGCCCTTAATAAGGATAGTGCTACTTCCCATTTCTCTTTTCCAAGATATTGTTTAATGGCAAGAATAATAGTTTTAGTATAGTTCCATTATTATGTTCACATAATCTGTTGATTATGGATGGTAGGAAGTAGTTCTGGTTTCATTTTAATTTGCAAAGTTTATCATTGACTTCAAACATTTCTAAGAGTTTGCTCTCTTTTGAACATATTTTCATTTGGCAATCTGACTGATAATGCTAAAGACTGGGCTAAATAATATTTGTTACTTTAGATAAAATACCAATTTGTAAATCATCCATCAAGACGCTATCTTTGCTTAACATTGATACCACAAAATATTAAGCACCCCAAGGACTACTGCTCGCCTGAATATGATTTGTTCTAATATAAAATTTGTGATTGTTCATCATAAGGATTTTTTAAACATTAACACTCAATATAAGAGTGTACATGGCACATTTCATGAAATTCAAAATTTTAGCAAGCTATATTTTTCTTTAATTTACCAGGAAAAAAAAATTGTGTTAAAAAGTCAAACATTACAACATAGATGTAGGATGTAATATGTAGGATGGATTTTTTCTAGTAATATGTTTCAGTACTGTGCTCCGTTCATTTGTTTCAATAATATATTGTAGTAATTCATTCAAGTAATATATTGTAGCAATTTATTTAAATAACATATTGTAGTAATTTGTTCCACAAATATGTTCCTGTAATTTGTTTCAGTGATCCATTTTAGTAAATTGTATCAGATCCGTTTTAGTAAATTGTATTTTTATATAAGTATCAATGTTGTGTTTTGATTATAGTTATACATGCAAATATCTTACAAACCAGTTATATGTAAAATCAGGTTAAGTCAAGACTCAGATTATCATGATCAGGCTGCTACTACATTTAATCCAGTATAAGCTGTATTGTATCCTGATGCCTAATAAAGTATTTTTTTCTAGGAAAAAGCTAAGAGTAGTTAATTTTAAGTTGTATATATAAACCCCAAACAAAGTTATATATATAAACATTTTAAGTTATATATATAAACCCCACATCATGTAAATCTTGATTGAGTAAAAGAATAGAGAGGATATCTCAATAAAAACACTTAAATTGGGCAGAGCTAACTGCATCTAACTACCGTCTTATTTTATTTTAACTTTTTAGCAACACCTCTAAACCTCTCTTAAAAAACTTACTAGAATAGTCTTAATTATATTAAAAGAATAGTGTTAATTATATGGTAGGATTACTGTCTAAAAATGTCTTTCAAAAAAGTCTGCTAGAATAGTTCTAATTAAATAATTTAATGTTTATTTCTGTGAATTCTTATATAAAATTTTAAAACAGTACATATAGCTAAATGCTAAATTTCCACTATCAAATGTGTGTGTGGAGGAGAGGGGGGGAGGAAGTTGAGTGGTTACACGTGCACCTTTTAATAAAATTAGGTATTATTGAATAGCTTATAGGCAGGGCTGTAACCAGGGCTACATTTTTTAGACTAATATGTAGAGTAGGCCTAAAGGCGGAAACAATAGAGCATAAATTTTACAATTAAAAAAAAATTAAAATTGAAATACCCAACATTTGCTTTAGATGCAGATTTATTTGAATCTATTCTAAGTAGATTGTCATTTGAAAAACCATCTTTAATTGGCTGTGTGTAAAAAATAATAAGTGTTTATATAAAGATATAATAAATATCTTCTATAATAGAAAAGGGATTTAATAGAATACCTCAGTTGAATTAGATTGGCATTGTGAAAAATTCTGAATAAACAGTTGAGGCATTCCACTTTTTTCTGATTGAGATTGAACTGGAATTAAAAAGCTGTGATTACTTGGATTAATAGTAACAATACTTGATTTTGACGTAGACAACCGAGGAGCTATCTAAAATATATTAAAATTATTGGAACAAATTATTTTTTTTCAAAACTTGATTTTGACGTAAACAACTGAGAACTACCTGAAAAATATAAAAGATAATTGAACAAATTACTCAACATTGGTATTTTGTATTTTGTTTTATTTGAGATTTTGCTAACTTTAAGTTATGAATGCGACTTTTCTTAAATGAATTTAAAAAAATAATATGCAAATTAATTAAAATAAACACTTAAGCATATTATTATTTAAATTAAAGGCCAACTAACTTTTAAACTAAATTTGCATATTATATATTTATTATATAATTGAAGTTATGGAATGCAAATGTTATATATTTGCATATTATATGAATCGGTCCATGCTAAAAGGGCTTTTGTCCAAATCTGCTGGTTTTGAGAAAAACAAAAAAAATTGTTTAAACCAAATATTTCTTTTTGTAAAAAATGTTAAACTTTAGTACTAAAATGGTTTGATTTGTAACCAAGTTGCCAGGTTTTTAAAAATATTTTTTACTATGAAAAAATAATGATAAGAGTGCTTGACTGAGGCCCTTATATCTTTTTTGCTCAATTTTTTCAAATCTTTTTATGTCTGTCAAAGCCATAAGAAATCTGGTCAATGCATAGTTTTTACTTTGTCCTCCACAATTGTCTGAGAACACATGAAGCTCTGTATAGTGAGATGGAACACCGTTCAAGTAATCATAAACTATTGAAAACACCTAATTTGGACCTTTTTAGGCAGTCCCTTCATGGTCCCTTCAACAATATTAAAGTAAAGTTGCGAAACATACAACAGTACAAAACACGTTTCTGAAGCCAAATTACAGGTTATGGCAAGATATTGATTGAATAAGCAATAACCTGATGTAGCAGACAGCTAAGAGGGTAGGCTGTGCAATAGTTGACAGACAGGAGTGTTGCCAACTCATGTGCTAGAAGGGCTTCAGTCACTGACTGAGGCCCTTTTACCACATTTTCAATAATTTAGTGGCCAGTATTTATGCCACTAGTGCATGTGATTGAGATCTTTTTAGCACACAGCAACTTTAAAAACCATTTCTTGTTATATGATATATATATATATATATATATATATATATATATATATATATATATATATATATATATCGGTCTGCAAAATATCGTTAATATATTTTTACATCAAAATATATTAAAAAATAGTTATATGCTGCCTTTTTATCAAAATCAATTTACATATTTTATATATATATATATATATATATATATATATATATATATATATATATATATATATATATATATATATATATATATATATATATATATATATATATATATATATATATATATATATATATATATATATATATATATATATATATATATATATATATATATATATATTTATATATATATATATAATTGAAGTCAATTCGCTCTAAAAAATATGAAAATAAACTTGGTTGGTTGTAAACAGCTTAAAAACAGTTATCTATTAACAAAAAATAACAAACCAAAACTTTTTTTGTCAGATATTTTTGATTAAAAAACAGCCATAAACCAAATAGTAAAAAAATGCTTCACATTCATAACTTTTTGCAGAAACTAAAAAATTCTGAATACATTTATATAAATATAGAAATTATAATATAAATAAAGATTTTTATACAATTTAAATTTCTTTAGTTTCTTTTATTTTGATTTCCTTACTATTCAGAGGTTTAAAAAAAATTATTTGATTGCAAAAACAATCATATATACATATTTTTGATAATTTGGTTAATAAACAAATTAAATTAAATAAATTTAATGATAAAAACAATAATAATGATAGTAACAATTCGTAATCTACTTCTAAAAAAGAACAGTTTGGTTTAGGACTTTGGTTGAGATCTCTAAAGAAAATAATTATTTTAGGATTATTGATAAATTTTTGTTTGTTTTAACATTAATTTTTAGCTAAATTTTAATTAAATGAAAATATTTTCAAATTATTATTTAGTTTATATCAAATAAAACATATATACTATACTTGATGATGTATTCTAAGAGTTCCATTTTGTTGATCTTGATTTGTATACATTGAAATGGTACCAGCCATTGTGATCGGCACAAACATTGGTTGTTGCATAGCAACTTTACTGGACTTGATAGCAACCGAAGGAAAACTATTGACATGATTAACAGCTATTAAAAAATATTTTGTTAGAAACATTTAATACAAATGAAATTAATTTTTTAGAAACATTCAATACAAATGAAATTAATTTTTTAGAAACATTCAATACAAATGAAATTAATTTTTTAGAAACATTCAATACAAATGAAATTAATTTTTTAGAAACATTTAATACAAATGAAATTTTTTAAATATCTGTTTAGATTATAAAAGAAAAAATATACTTAACCAAACAATGGCAAAATAACATTTAACTTTTAAATAATGGTATCAATTTTGTAACTCATTTTTGAACATTACTTATAAAAAAATATTAAATTTAACACTTTAATAAACAATTTATTAAACTTAAAAAAATAATAAAAGTTAATTAAGTGAACAAATTAAATAAGCAAAACAAATTAAATTAGCAAAAAGGTATTTAACATTTGAATTTAATAAATTTATAGTTTATAACAGCTTTTCTAATGCATCATTTTCTGCAAAACTGTCCAAAATCAAAAGTGCCAACCTAAGAAAACCAAAATAAAATATGGTAATGAAAACCAAAATGAGATCAAAGTACCAGTAATGAAAACCAAAATGAGATGAAAATACGGGTATTAAAAACACAATATGAGCACCAGTGATTACATTATTTATTATTCCCATAAATGTGTGAAAATATAAATCTGACTATAAGGTCAGAGATTTAAAAAAATGTAAAATATATATTTATTTTTTTTCAAAAAAAAAAAAAAAAAATTTATTTAAATGTTATCCTTTTATTCTTTATGTTATTGCGTGGAAAAAATCACATCACAAACATCACATTGAATTCATGTTTAATCTATGAACGCAATCCAAATAATCCATTATTAAATAAATATTTTTGTACCAATACATTTGTTTACTTTTCAGGTGATTTTGAAAACAATTTCACTTGATCAACTTTCTGTTTGTTAGTTATCAATTACCATCTTTATATAAATTTTATATTTTCAATATTGTTTCTGATCTGATCAAGTATTAAGTTTTTCTAATTTGCAGCATATTAGATGTTTTGTTAACTTTTTCTTATAATTATCTTCCTCGTTTTTTTAGTAACTTCTGACTTATTGGTGGTGCAATTTTAACTAACTTCAAACTTAACAGTGATGCAGCCTTTTTCAACAACCAATTAAATAGTGCTGAAGCCTTCTTTAACTTTCAACTTTATAGTGATACAACCTTATTGAATTTGTTTTTAAAAAATCTTAAATTGCTTTTAATATTTTTATTGTTTTCAAAAAAACAATTTTAATTTTCTTTAAATCTTTTTTTTATTTTATGTTTTGCTAAGTAATGCTTACTTTTAATTCAAAACTATATTTTAAATCAGGAACTTGACAGCTTTATATATGTTAAAAATGTGCAAAAAAAAAAAATGTGCATGAGTACAGTACATCTGATGGCAACGCATATCTATTCTATTACAGATATGCTGTCATTTTTTGCTTTTAGTACAGTTTTATCCAAGTTTTTTTTTTTTTTTTTAATTTTAGTTTTATTTTTATTATTATTATTTTTTATTTTTTTCATTTCATTTAGAGTCAATTGAAACAATTTAAAAACAGGTTGTTTTAAAACAAGTCTTTGTATATGCATGTTATATTTGTATTTAGTCAAAATATAACAAAACTTTTTGGTTGCAAAAAATGCAAATAAGAGCTAAAATTTGCTTTTGTCCAACTGCAGATCTTTCTTCCACAAAAGAAAAGTTTTTGAGATTTATAAACTTTTTGCAGCAGACGCCATCATTAAAATCTTATAGTAAATAAGATTTTAATGATTATCTTTTTAACTTTTAGGATTTTTAAACAGTTCTGTTTTTTTTTCATAGAATATTTTTAACATTTTTACAATTTTAAATATTTTCAAGCAATTTTTGTATTGTAAATTATAAGCAAATTTTGCTTTTAATTTAAAAAACAAAAAATAATTTTTTTTCTATTTAATATAATATACCTTATATCTTATTTTATAATACTTATATACTTTATATATATATGCTAAATTTTTTTATCTAATTCACCTCCTCAAGGCCGAGAAAGCCACTACAGACGAGGAGGCTACATGGTTATAACCCTCTCTCAACTCTATAACTCCGAAACAAAAACCTTGATGAACAAGGCCGCTGCGCGGAGAAACGAGTTGAGCACAGTACTACCAGGGACGTGGTAAGGATCAAACTCGGAACCACTCGCTTATGAAGCAAGCGTAGAGCGCTTGCTTCATAAGCGAGCACTACACCACTGCCACATTTGTTATTTTATAATGCTATACAATTATTCACCAAACTAAAATTTAGAAAGTATATTTAACCTGCAGTCTGACCTGGATTCTATTAAATACAGACTACTGATTCAGTAATCTGATGGAAAGATTTTATTGTTCTTTTCTTGATTTAATTGTTTCTTTTTTTTTTACTGAAAAGAATTGTTTAAATTTAAATTTTACTGAAAAGAATTGTTTAAATTTATTAGAAAACTTTATTTTGTAAATGAAGGAAAACACGAAATTACTTTTCACAAACATCTGAAAGTCTGAAAGTTTGTTCTGATCATTTAATTAAATTAGTAGTAAATTATCACTCAAACATTTGCCTATATGGTTTATCTTAGCTCAAAAGATAATCTTGGTATAAAATAGTTTAATTTTGATGGCCGTAAATTGTAAAAGAAAAGATATTTTAACTTTGGTAGGATGCAACGTAATTATAAATTTCAAAAGTTCAGGGATAATATTTGTAGTGTTATGGTTAATTCTTTTCTTAATAATTTTAGGTTACTATTTATCTCTAACAAAAAAAAATTATTTATAAAACAAAAAGAATATTTAAACTTAAAACTTTTACCTTGATTTTTTAACTTTTTCTGATTACTTCTATTTTGTAGAGCTTGGCCTGATTGATTGTGATTAGTAGAGGTAATTACCAGATTAGAGTTCAATAACGAAGTGGTAGGAGCTGGAATAGGAAACGAAGTGGCAGGAGCTGGAACAATACTCATACTTTAAATCTTTTTGAATATACAACAAGTATGTATGTATTTATGTATGTTCAGAGGCAGTCACTAGATTAGAATCATACACAAAATATACTATTTTACACTTCAGCATCATTTAGTAAGCTGCTACATTGTTAAGAAACAATGGCTGTTATTCAGTAACACTCCAGTTTTGGATCCAAAGCTTGGTTCTTCGCCAAATCTTAACCTGACTTGCATTTAAACAGTCAACATAGTTGACAGTGGTTAAATGCAAGGTGAGTGAAACACATTTGAATCTAATTTGATTGCAACACTAAAACTAATTTGACTAGGGGAAACTTTAACAGACTATAAATACAGATTAGTTTAGTCTACACTGAGCCAAATCAATGCAAGTTTTATTAATCAAAGATGGAAACAACACTAAAAAACTTATTTGTTGAACACTGTTAAACTATTTTTTATTGGGTAGTTTTATTTTATTGTATTAATTTGTTTAATTTCTAAATTGTTGAATTAGTTTATTATAATGAAGAATTATTTTTTTGATATTTTGACATTCTAATCTAGTGGTCACCACTGTATGTATGTATGTATGTATGTATGTATGTATGTATGTATGTATGTATGTATGTATGTATGTATGTATGTATGTATGTATGTATGTATGTATGTATGTATTTATGTATGTATGTATGTATGTATGTATGTATGTATGTATGTATGTATGTATGTATGTATGTATGTATGTATGTATGTATGTATGTAATAACAGAATTGTTTTCAAAGAACTAATCCTCTCTATCTCCTAGTTCCAATGACTAAATTTTAAATATCCTAAAAAACAGGTTCATTTTAAACATTCATTGTTAGACATTCTAATCACTTTGGCTTCAATTATTGAAGTTATTTCTCATTTAAACTATTCAACAGCTTGAGGTCCAGATAACATTCCTACCTTAGTTCTCTTTAAATTTTTTCATTTTTGTTCTCCAGAATTCTCTTTACTAAATCATTTCTTTTTACTAAATCTTGCATTCCTGCTTGATGAAAAATGGTATCAGTCAATTATATTTTGAAAAACTTTGGAGATCTTTTCGACCTTTTAACTACTTTCCAAACAAACTAGGTACTATTGATAGCAATAGAATCTTTAATTAACAATTTTGTAATATCTTATCTAAAGTTTGATAAATTGCTTTATGACAAACTTTATGACAATTCTCTTATTTCACTAGTGATATGTTTACCATAATAAAATAAAGGATAAATTGTGTGTTAGATATATGCAGTTAGACAAAATCAATTGCTCTAGACACAGCAAATATTTTCTATCAAGTCTCTCATGCTGGTCTTCTGCATAAACTCTCATTATCTGTGAAACTTTCCTAATTATGAACCTTTTTTTTAATATAGTATTAAAATAGTTTTTGATGGATAACCTTCGTTTTCAGTAACCATTGGATTATCACAAAACTTCTACCATAGTCCCATATTATTACTCATCAATATTATAGATCTTCCTGATTCACCTAATTTTACCATAACAGTTATTGTAATGATACAAATATTTTTTTTAGTCATGAAAAATTTGATTCTTTAAAATAAGATTTTGTAGTTTTTTGTAAATTTCAACACAAACAAAAATTTTTTTACTTTATTTAAAGTCCAAAGGAGTCTCTACAGCCAGTTAGTTTTTATATTTTTTTCTTACTTTATCACTAAACCATTAATGCATTATATTCCTAAACAAAAACAAAAAATAAACAAAAATATTCCTTATGAGGTTTCTACTTAGCATCTTTCATGGTTTATTTTTCACTCTGAACTCATGAAAATCATACATCCAATTTATTGCCAAGTTAGCATCTGCTTAAGTTGCCTCTCTGTTTTGGGTTTGCTATTTTCTTTTATATTCAAATTTATATTCAAATATTTTATTCGCCACTATTACAAATCTTTCTGCTTTTGTCTGGAATACTGCTGTCATATTTAGGCTGAGCTTTCCAATAATACATTTTCTTTTTTTGATTAGATGAAAAAATACTTTGCAAATGTAGACCTGTTCTAACAGCCAAGCTATGACATTGTCATAAGATCATATCTCTTTCAATAAGATTTTTTCATTTTCTGATTTTTACAAATACTACTATACAGTATTTTTACTATATGGTATGGTTTTACAAATACTACTATATGGTATCTGCAGACTTTTTTACATTCCTGCCAAAATCAATAACCATCAATAACCACGAAGTTGACTTGTCAACAGTGGAGTAAATTAAATATCCTATATTCAGTTATATTTACCCTATATTCAGTTATATTCCATTTATATTCCATAAATCCATAAAGTAAAGGCAGAAATTTGGCCGCTGAAACCAGTATATCTGTGCCAAAATTGGTCTTAATACATCACTGTAATCTCCACCAATAAAATTTCAATCTCATGTAACCCAACTAACTTTTTCCTTACAAAAAACTAAATTCCTTTTTTTACCCTACTAAATCTCTCTATACACATGATTATAACCATTTTAATTAAATACAAAATATTTTTTATTCCCTGAAACTACACATTTAATTAAGATTATATAATAAAAAATCATACCAATAATTCTGTCATTAGACAGCTTAGGCATCAAACTAATTGATTTTGAAACATCCTTTGATACTCCATTTGAAGAAGATTGAAAAACTGATGATTGTGATGCAGAACTGTGTGTGGGTGATAAAATATAACTTTTAGAATCTGTAATTTTCATAGGAGAACTAATTGTAAGAGTTTGAATTACTTGGTTATTTAATGTTTGTTTTGTACCGTGTGAAACAATATGTTCTTTACATATAGAATCTATAAAATTGAAACTATGACTAGATTGAAGTGATTGTACATTACGCAACTGGATGGCAGGCAAATTTTGATCTGAAGATAACTGCAGCTGAACATATTGACTAGAATTTTGAGCATCATGCACTGGAATAAATTGATTTGAAGGACCTACAAGTGGTTCAAAAATGGATACACAATTTGATACTTTTTTGTTCTCTAATTTTATATTCTTTTCTTTTAAGGTCGGCTGTACCTTAACATACGTATATGTCCCTGTAACATTTTTTTCAGGAATTTTCGAAGAAGGCTTCTGCATGAAAAAATAATACTCTATGCATAAGAAGTTTTGTTCTTGAAATTGAAAGTTTGAGAAAAATATTTGAATTACATATCACTGATTTATTCACTTGACTATGTCAAACTCTCTATAAACAATAAAGATAAATACATTTACATACAATATTTATATTTATAAATACATATATATATATATATATATATATATATATATATATATATATATATATATACTTTTTTTAAAGTAACACAATAAATTTAATTCTTGAAATGTTTAATTATATAATGATTACGTTTTTAAAAGTTTAATTTTAACTCTGAAATAAATGTTAAAAAATAAAGACTTTACAAAGAAATATTAATGGAAAAAAATATACACAATAAACCAATAAAAATGATTACACAATCACTCAGTAAATAAAAAAATAAACTGTCATTTTGATTAAGTAGATAAGTTAATGGTATAAAGAAAAAATTGTTTATTAAGTGAAGGATTTTCCCTTTTTTTGTGGAACGCCCATTATACCTTTACCTTTTTTTTTTAACCATTTAATTTACTTTTTTTTTTTTTTATTAATATTGCTGTTGATTTTTTTTTTTTTTTTGCTTGTTCATTTTATTTAGGTTCAATGACTAGTTTTTAACTATATGAGTGACACCTAAACTAATTTTAATAATCACCTAAACTTATAACAAATTTGTTATTTTTCAATTTTGGTTGAATAAATGGACAAAAAAACAAAAATAAAAACAACGTATAAAACTAAATTTGTCGCAAGAGGGAACAAAACTAAATTCTTGGGCTTCATATTAAAAATTAAAGATAGCAGAACCAGAAGTTAAAATATGTAGTAATTTCTTAAACTGAGTTTTAGAAAAATGAATCTTGCTTAAATCCACCTCAAATGATAAAAAAAAAACAATAAACTTGACAATTTAAAAACTAAAATAATAACTAATTAAATATATTCATTTTTTGAAAAACTATATAAAACGTAACTTTATTGACTCTGAAGTTTTTGCTTTTTTAATCAAGAATGTTTGCACTTTTCTTACTTTTTTTTTGCTGTTTTTATTATTTTATTTATTTTATTTCATTACATTTTATATTTTTTGTTTTATAAACAATCTAGCCATAGGTTAAGCTTAAGGTACATATGTAGATTGATTTATTTAGCAATAAGCACAGCAGAGTGCTAACGGTAAATAAACAACAATAACACTAACATATTATTTTAGATTTTATAATTATTTTCTTTTAATTTTAATATTAATATTACTAATAAGAAGAAAATAAGATTATTAATAACAATAATGTGGTATAGTGCTGCATTAAAAAAAATTTTAATATTAACCTTATCACATCCCTACTGTGCTTAACTAGGTTTTCCGCACTGCAACTTTGTGCATAAACTTTTTGCTCATGTTTTAGAGTTTAAGGGATAAGAACAATTTAAATAAATATATATATATATATATCTCAACCCTCGGAATTAGGAAAAACGAGGTTGGTAATAATTTGCCAACCTTAATCTTTTTGAGGTCGGCAAAAATTATTTGATACAAAGGTCTGACCAAAAAACATACAAACAAGGACAGCTAATTTTTGCTGACCACAAACACTTTCAGATCGGCAGTTAGGTATATATATATATATATATATATATATATATATATATATATATATATATATATATATATATATATATATATATATATATATATATATGTACAGTGCTTTTTTTCTAGAAAAAAATGTGCCGTAACTCAACTGTATTTTTCTTGCATCACAAAAATAAAGCAGAAATTAGCAATTATTTGTAAATAAAATTTATACATATGTATGTACTTTATACATATGAGCTCCCCTGCTCATTATACCCAATAAGGCGGAAGCAAATAAAAGAAGCCGTTTTCCAATGTAAGAAGTTTTTTTTATTTTTTTAAATAATGGCATGTGTTTTTTGTTTGGGTGTGTGAGGTGATGGGTTACGGCACTGTATATAAGATACAAACTGCATAAAACTTTAAATTTTTATAAAAAAATTTTTATAAATAACTACGAATCAACGTACTTTGAAAGATCGAAGCTTGAAAGATCGAAGCTTTTTAGCTGTGGTCCTACTAATTTAATGAATAATTTGTTGAAATTGTTATGGTCATTAATGAAGGCCTTATTGATCACTCATATATATATATATATATATATATATATATATATATATATATATATATATATATATATATATATATATATATATATTTATATAAACCTCGGAATTAGGGTCGGCATTCAGCAATGCCAACCTAACTGCCGACCTAAAAGTGTTTCAGGTCGGCAAACTATTGTCGATATATATATATATATATATATATATATATATATATATATATATATATATATATATATATACATATATATATATATATATATATATATATATATATATATATATATATATATATATATATATATATATATATATATATATATATATAACAATAATTGATAAAGTTGTGCTTTGTTCAAGAAAAATAGTATATTAATATATATTAGTATTAAAATGTATTACATCAAAGTTGAGAGAAAAAATTCTTTATTTTGTAATATCTAGCAACTTCTGCATAACACTTGTATCCTCTTGTAAAAATCGCTCTAATTCTTCCATTTTATAAATTAGAAATTTAAAAGAGTTGACAGTGTCACCTCTATAAAAATAATTATTCTCAATATACTGAAAAGTTATTACTTTTTTTCCTGATTGAATCCATTAAATATTTTTTTCAACCTATGTGAATATTTTGTTTTATGAGAATATCTGATTTGTAATTGCTTCTTGTTGAATAGCTTTTGTTGCAACTTTTTTATAATTCCTTATACATTGTCACATTTTAAATTATTTCACTTTATTGCATGTAGTTTGATTTTGATTATAGGGAGTAATTAACAATCATAATTAAGTTTATCTTTTTTCTTTTTAATTATAAACAGCAAACAGATATAAAGTTGCATGATGGGCTAGCTAGTAAAACCTATTTTAAAGCAACTTGAACCATTGTTTACTTCAAAATCTATAACAACAATACATGTAGGTCTAATGTTTGTTCCACCTCTGATAAGTATTAGAAGTTGATAAAGTGAGAATTACAATGATCACTTATAGCTTTAATGAATTCTGTAATACTGGTTGGGACAATTATATGCTGTTAAAACAGATTGACACCCATTATTAATATATAATCTAGTTATCAAACTCATTTTTTTTAAAGGGATTACAACCATTTAAAGTAAATGTAAAACAAATATATAATACGCCCTAAACAAGCTCTATAAAATAAAGTTAGTTTGATTCAATTTGGATAAGTCCTTCATGTCAAACCAAAGAAATAAATTTTAGTCATAGGTTGTCGCGCCAAACCCTTTTTGACCAAAAGGACATTGGCGTCTACAACTATGGTCAGGGTTAGGGTATTTTAAGTTATAATATAAAATAGTTATGGTGCAAACATACACAAACTGAGTGGATTCCACTACTATCAACTTTGACGCACCACTTTAACCAAAAAACACAGAACTTGCTTAACCCAATTTGTGCAATTTGTTATAGGTCGTTATCAATTTATAGATCAAACTCCAGAGGAAGTTCAGGCCTGGGTTTCTCTAACAAATTCTTTCTCTTTTAAACAAGGTCAAAAAATATATTGTTAATATAGTTGGTTCTGCTGTCAGCCAAGCTTGAGTCACTGCCCCATCATCATAAAGTTGCATCTCTGTCTTTTTTTAAATGGTTGTTGCTCAAAGCAATCATGGTTGTTGGTATAATCTTTGTTTATAACAACTTCATCTTGACACATTCTGAATACTTTTTATATAAAAAGAAAAAAAATTTTTTTTTTCTAGATAATAAATGACAACAGTGCTAAAAATGAGGTGGTCTAAAGTTTCCAAAAATAGAATTAAAGTCAATACCAGTACCATCAAGTGTTATGAAACAAATCAAACTTCCCATTAATATCGTCATGTCATCTTAATTGACTTTTTTCAGCATGGCCAGAAGCCAAATTGATCAAATATGAACCAGCTTAAAACATTGCTCAATTTTGTATGAAATAATATGTATTATTTCATACAGCTCACACAAACAAAGTGAGAGATGGATGAGGAGCAGAGAAAAGATAAAATGTTATAAAAGTGTATGCATACTATAATAAACCATAATAATAAAACTATGTTTTGAGTGTTTTTGCTGTTTATGGAGTAAAAAAAATGTTTTGATACTTTGAGATTTGAGATGAAAGAATCATGAATTAATGAGTATGATTGATCTTTAATGCACCAATTAAAACGCAATATAACCAAACTTTTTTCTGAATAAGATTTTATTTTTTAACAAATAAACTAGAGCATACAGCAAAACAAAAACAAACAAAAAAATATAGCAAATGCAGTAACATCTGCCTTTAATGACTTTAAATTATAACCCAATCAAGAATATGTGGCTATATTAGATTCTAAACTTAAAGAAAGAAAGGAAAAAATTTCAAACACTTCTAAACTGTTTGAAGTAAAAATGAGAAAATGATTGAATTAATCTTCTTAACAAACCTGGCTAATAGTATGCCCCACAAATGCAAAGCATTAAATGATTCAAAATATTGTCCAAGAAAGTTTTATGTTGTTAATTATTATGTTGTGCAAGTAAGCATTTTGTTGTTGCTGTATTAAAACTGAATAAAATACTTAAATTGAACTTATTTTTTTTTTATTTTTTTTTTGTAATTAAGGAATTAACATAATTCTATTGAGCATTCTGTAATTAATAACAAAAAGATAAGTATTTTAAAAACACAGTCAAGTTTATCTTGTTTAAATAAAAAGTTCGATTCCACAGTGAATCTTTTTTTTTGTTTTGTTTTGTTTGAGTTTTAATAAAGGATATATATATATATATATATATATATATATATATATATATATATATATATATATATATATATATATATATATATATATATATATATATATATATATATATATATATATATATATATATATATATACATATATATATATATATATATATATATATATATATATATATATATATATATATATATATATATATATATA